GGGGGGGGGGGGGGGGGGGAAGCGGGTAACCCCCAAAACCACCCCCCGTGTATCCACCACTGATTATATTATATGTACTATTTAGTTACGCATGTTTTTATTTTTGAAATGGGAATTTCGCAAAAATTTTTTTGCTTACACATCACTATTTTTTACATATTTTTTCATACTTTGTTCTGGCAAATTTTTTTTAGTTTCACTTTTATTTCAACATATTTTTATTAAAAGAAAAATACTGAAAAAATAAAATATTTCACACAAACAACAAAAAATATAATCGATAATCGCATGAGGCTATTGCCTGAAAATTTTAAAATGCGGTTAGTGGCATTGTGCTACTATGATAGCACGGCCGAGTAATCATAGTAAACTTATGTACACTAGTCGAACAAATTATAGCCGCATCAAATTTTCACAAGTTTCACGAACGAAAATCACGATCTACAATCTCTCATCATGCTCGTCCTTTTATATGGCGCAGAAAATTGGACGATGTCGAACAAAGATGGGAAGGCTTTGGGGGCTTTCGAGAGAATTATTCTACACAAGATCTATGGCCCTGTTTTCGTGGACGACGGGTACCGGAGAAGATGGAATGACGAACTGTATGAGCTTTTTAACGATATGGACATAATTAAGTGCATAAAAGCGCATACAGCGATTGCGCTGGCTTGGAGATATACGCATGGATGACGACGGTTCGGTGAAAAGATCCTTCGACTCCGCACCCATGGGTGGACAACGAAAGCAAGGGCGCCCACGAACGCAGTGCAAGGTGGTGTTGTATGATCAGCTGATTTCTTCTGATTTTGTTTTTGCTTTTACTGACTTGACAGCACACCCATCAAAAGCAAAAACAAAACACATGTAAACACTTTGGCGAATTGAGATTTGACGTAACACCCGCAATAAAAATACATGTGGTTGTTGTTGTTGTAATCTAAATTCGCCAGTACCACAGCCTTGTATAAATTCGCCTTGGTTTCCAATGATAACGAAAATATCGAGAACGTTTTCAATTGTGGAACATTTTCTTATTTTCTGTGCATGAAAATTTTGTGTTGTAAGTCTTTCGTTGACTTAATTTTCATAATTATCTTTCAGTTCTTTTGGATTATTTTTAATATACAAACATATAGTAAACATATTCGCAACATAATAAACGCTATGAAAAAATTTTGTTATCGCTTCCAATTTGTTTCTGAGACTTTAGTTCCCAAACTGGTCTTCGATAGAAAGCTCCTTAGGCTTTTGTTCCCTCTTAGTTATTTTCTAAAACGTTCCGAAGACTTTTGTTCCCATTTTGTTCTCTTAGAAATGTTGCCGAAAGATTGTTCGCATTTTTTCTCTTTGGAAACGTTCCACAAGGTTTTGTTCTTACATAAGTCCCATTTAAAACGTTCTCGACAGTTTTGTTCTCATTTTGGTTTTGGTGTTGAAGCGCTCTTAGGTGCAAAACTACGAGAACGACATTTAGTTTCGTTCATACCTTTTGTTGTCGGTCCCTGGTTTAAGAGCCTGGTTGAATAAATAACTTTGAATACAAATCGGTTGACGCTTATATACTCGTAAAGAAAAGTGGGTTTTTGAGTAGCACTTGTATGTAACTTGTCAGGTGAAAATTTATATATTGGAATTTAACGAACAGGAACGTACGTAAATGCTTTAAGGAAGGTATTTTTCAATAATACCTTCTCTGAAGCTGAATAACGGTAAATTGCAAATATCTCCATATCCATAGAAACAAAATTAACTCGATTTTCGGAATCGACGAGCAGTTCTACATAGGAATCGGATAGTGGCGTCTGGAGAACAAAAACAAAACTAAAATTTCTGATCCAGTGTTATTATTGTTATTTTATTATTTGAAATAAAACTGGTTCCCTATTTTTAAACAAAGCCCTTTTAATCTTTTTTACCCCAAAGTAGCATATTTCTGTGGAACTTGACGGCAAGGAAGCGCCAAAGTTGTCGGCTGTGCGGAACTTTGTGACGTAGCATGGTGGTCTACGTGCTGTTGTCTCTGCGCGAATTCGAATAAAATGGAGCTTGCTCTCTTGAAACAAACATGCATATAAATCACAGCTGGTCAATCCACCGGAGATAAACGGGTTCCGCCAAAAGTTGACGACAGAGTGTTTGTGGAGGATAGCTATGTGTAAAAAAAATAAAGTTTGAACCCAAGCGTTTGGCGCTGGATTTATA